TCCTCTTAATTCTTTTCCACTGGATCTTCCGGTCAGGGTTGGTGAGCATCTGGACCCCATCAGGCAGCTGACTTCACACATTCCCACTCTAACCCTTTGGTCCTGGCCACAAATGGGCATCTCGAACTGCAAAAAGAGATCTTTGAGCCTAGAAAGAAAGTCTTGCGAAAGTCAACTTTTTCCATTTGGCTCCCTGCATAAATATTTTCCTTGGAGGGCACTTCAGTTTCTACTACGAGAATCCCATGGCGGACTCCAGGGCTGCATAACGTTCAGCGGTTTTACTGGTTTTTTCATGCAACGTCTAGTGGGGTTGTCTTTCCCCCCCTCCCATTGTTATTTTTAATAATAAGAGACTCCATAAACCTCATGAGAAAAATCACTGGAAATGAATTTTTTTTTTTAAAAAAAAGCATTGCATGCTAAAAACAAATAAATATGAAATATTGACGTAGAAGAAATGAAACAAAATGTTTGTCTCCATTCCGTTATCCAGTCTTGCATTTTATAAGATAATGGATAGATGTGTGTGTGTGTGTGTGTGTGTGTGTGTGTGTGTGTGTTCATGTGCTTTGCAAATACAGCAATATATGAAAAATGCTTAGATCACTTCCCCCGTTTTCAAGCCAATGGAGTTTGAATCACGGTTGACTAAGGGCTTCCTTTTAGCTAATGCTAAAATCTAACCACAGGTGCTAAGATTTAAACCAAAAGGTTCTTTCTGGACTTATATAAAATATATAAATATATATAACCCTCCTCTACTCCTTCCAACAACAGCTTTTGCAAAATGTTGGATAAATAAGTAAATGTTGAACCCTTCCTGAATAATAGTTGGGGTTACTTACAGGTAATCTTCAAGTTAACAATCATTCATTTAACAATTAGGACACTGGGGGAAAAAGTGACTTGCAACCAATCCTCGCACACAATCCTCACAGCATCCCAAAGTGAAGAGATTCCAACTGAAGAGAGAGTAATTAGAAAAATATTAGACTGTGCAGAAATGAATAAGTTAACACTAGCAATCCAAGACAAGGAACAAATTGGCTATTATATGATGTAGGATTTTTTTTATCAATGGTTGATAAACAAATATGGAAGCTAGAAATTAAAAAAGACTAGCGCAAAATTGTAAACATGTGGTAAGAATTAAAAATGTTAAGATGGGGAATGTTATAAGAATTAGATATATGATGCAGATTAGTATTAAGTAAGAACAGAGTATTAAAGCTAAGCAATGAATATGCATAAACTAGAATGGTTATTGCACAAGATAGTTATACCCAAATGACACACTGTTCAAATGAAAGGTGATGCTTGTATGTATAAATAAAATAAAAAAATATAAAAAGAAAGCATCCCGACAGTCACATGATCAAAATTCAGGCACTTGGCAACCAGTGTGTATTTAATAAACAGGTAGTCCTCGTCATAGGACCATAAATGAGCCCAAAAATTTCAGCTGCTAAATGAGACATTTGTTAAGGGAACTTTGCCTCATTTTACAACTTTTCTCTGGTCTCAAGTGCTAAAATATCTTTGTAGGGCTCTGGAGATAAGGCTATGCAGCCAGTCACATCCCTCCATAAGTACATTAATCATTTGGCATGAGAAAATACTAAAAGTACACACAGGTTCCTGGACATGGATGCGCAAATAATAGATCATCTTACCAAGAGAACACACACAGACACACAGAGTGAGGAAGGGAGGGAGGGAAAGAGAAAGAGAGAGAAACTAATATAAAATAAGCAAGAAAAAAGTAAAAAGAAAAAGCTAAAAGTACAAAAAAAAACAAAACCACAACCCACCCAGAAATAAGGAAAACAAAAATAGAAGAGATTCCAAGTTTCAAAAATTCCTCCCTTTTTACAACCCTGTAATCCGGGGTGACTGAATGGAGCTGAACATTTGCAGGCCGGATGCCCTTCCTGACACCACATGGAGTTCACAGTAGATTTTTTTTTTCCTTTGTGCTCCAGAAGAGAGAAACATCTTCCACTACCCAGGACTGAACTCTCAACCTTCTGAGTGGGAGGCGAGAGTCTTCACCACAGGGGCCACCAGGCAGCTCGAATCCAAAGACTCAAAGAGATTCTGATATTCTTCACTGCAGTTACAAATGTGTTTTGTATATATACATGTATGCATATATTATATGTATACTGTATACATATATATGTGTGTGTGTGTGTGTATAAATTTTTATTAAAACGTTTTAAAAGGAAGATAAACACGAATACAAGCTAAGAAGAAGTATGGGAGGAAAAAGAAAGGAATAAAAAAAGTTAGTGAAAATACAAAAAATGTGATAAAATAGAAAAGAAAGGGGAAAAATTGAGCTTTCCTCTTTCCTGCACACACCTGCCTTCAAGTATGAATTCCTAGCCTCCGGGCATGTCAAGAGGCTGAGTCAGAGGCTCTTTTGCCATGCCTGATTTCGAATCTGGGACAGCTTACCTTTTCTCAAGAAGACGGTGGGCCAGAAGGATGCCGTTATTAGTTTTAAAGGGTTATTTATTTAGAACTCAAACAACGTGGCTCCGGGTGGCATACAACATCACGAAACAAAGTTTTTTTAAAAAATTAAAATAATTAAAAAATAATAATAATAAAGGCGACAAAATAAAAAAGGAAACTGCTTAGCACCAAAGCTAAAAGTGTGCAGGGCAGGTGAGATCTTCCACCTCAGGTGAGGAGGGAGAGCCTGGATTTTGAACATGCTCTATAAAACCCTGGACCTGCTGGCCTTGGTTGTTGCATGCAGATTTTGGCATACTAAAGCAGTGTTTCTCAGCATAGGCAGGGCTGGGCCTGTTGGGGGTTTGCAGGAGTTCAGTGCAATTCAGAAAACCCCCAAATCCCACTCCTGGATGGCCCTGCCCACCCTGCCCCTCCCAGGAGTCCCCACAAGGTCCGCTTTGAGGCGAAAATTGGGCCTCCTGGAAGTTCGGGAAGGCCAGAAATGGGCCTGTTTCTGGTTTCTAAGAGAGCCTCCGGAGCCTGGTGAGGCCATTTTCGCCCTCCCAGAGGCTCAAGGAAAGCCTCCGGAGCCCGGGGAGGGCAAAAATGCCCCCCCCCCCCCCCCGCCCGTGGTGGTGCAGGAGGCCGACTAGGCCACGCCAACCATGGTCACGCCCTCCCAGCAACTGCGCAGAGAACCCCTTGCTAAAAATTTTGAAGCCCACCCCTGAGCATAGGTGAACTTCAACTCCCAGAATTCCCTACCCAACACCTCCAGAATCCTAGGGAAGTATTTTGCCACATGATGAGAGAACCAACCTTCTTCCTTCCCTTCTAATGCACAAAAATTACCACACACACAAACACACAACTTGTGGACCTCTCTTCCATAAAATTAGTGACATGGGCTGGCCAGTTGAGTTTTGCGCACTCTGCAAAAGAGCATTTTTGATGAGTTTGTAGTTCAACAACCCATCATGTGAGCGCAGCCTTAGACAAGGTCACAAGTGTGAATGTTGACAACCACTCTTCCACAATCTCTTTGAAATGTACAGCAATATCGAGGGCCACAGAGAACCCTGCCCAGTGCCCAACGCTAATCTTTCATTTAAGCTTCTCTTCAATATCCTTTTGTTTTTTTAAGGCAATTGTGATCTCCCGAAATGAGTTTCGTTCCAGGCCTTTCAAACAACTAAACCAGGAGTCTCCAAACTTGGCAATTTTTAAGACTTGTGGAACTCAACTCATGGCTGGGGAATTCTGGGAGATCTTGAGACGGACCTGAGATATACAGGTAGTACTTTAGATCAGGGGTCTCCAACCTTGGCAACTTTTAAGGCTTGTGGACTTCAACTCCCAGAATTCTCCAGGAAACTATGCTGGCTGAGGAATTCTGGGAGTTGAAGTCCACAAGTCTTAAAAGTTGCCAAGGTTGGAGACCCCTGCTTTAGATCACAATCAGCTCCTTTCGTGATATCTACTGCAAATATTTAAGGAATGAAATTTGCATTGTGCTGATCTGAGAGCCGTCTTGGTCTCTAATGCAAGGATCTCCAAACTTGGCAACGTTTAAGGCTTGTGGACTTCAACTCCCAGAATTCCTCAGTTCACAAGTCTTAAAAGTTGCTAAGTTTGGAGATTCCTGGTTTAGTGGTTAAGGCCCTAGGCTAGAAACCCAGAGACTGTGAGGTCTAATCCCCCCTTTGGCATGAAAGCTTACTGGGTGGGTGATTTTATAAAGATTATACAGATTAACAGAGCTGGAAGGGACCCTGTAGGTCATCTAGTCCAACCCCCTGCCCAAGCGGGAGACCCTACACCATTTCTGACAGATGGCAGTCCAATCTCTTCTTGAAAGTCTCAAGTGATGAAGCTCCCACAACTTCCGAGGGCAACTTCTGTTCCTTTGGTTGATTGTTCTCAATGTCAGAAAAGTTTCTCCTTATTTCCAGGTTGAATCTCTCCTTGTTCCGTTTCCATCCATTTGGGCCAGCTCAACCCCATCTCACAGGGTTGTTGTTGCAGGGCAATAGGAGGAAGAGTGAACATCAGTTATGTTGGCCACTTTGAGCTATTTCTAAATAATAATAATAACAATAATAAAGGCAAGGGAACCAATCATCACCAGCATGAAGAAATCCCAGTTTGCTGCCGACAGACAGCCCTGTATTCTTAACGCCCGCAGTGCAAAACACGTTAAACAAACCCAGGGCAAAACCAAATATTTGGCACCTGCCTTAGAAGTTGCCAAGGTTGGGAAACACCGCACTGAGGACTAGCCGCTTCTGCAAGCGAGGATGGTTTCCAGCGGAAAGAACGCCGTGTGCCTGCAGCCGAGAGCTGATGGGGCCGCGAAGTGAAGTTTTCATCACTTCCCCGTTCTTCTTCCCGTCCCCTTCATTCCGCCGCCGCTGCGTCACTCTCCGAAACTTCTCTAAAAAGAGGGACGCAAGTGATGCCCGGGGTGGAGCCAGGCCAGCTGGAGGAAGGAGGGAGGGGGGTGGATTTCAAACATAAGCAGAGCGCCAGAAGGAAGGAACCGCAGAATCTAAGGGTTTTTTTTCCTCCCCCTCCGGCTGAAAGAATTGCTCCAGGATCCACTCGCTTTGCGGATTACCAGCTCGCTCCTACGCCGCCGCCCCGGATCCTGTTCAGCATCCTGAATCCATGAAGTGCTTTTGGACCGCCGTTTTGTTCTCCTTGGTGGCGACAGACGGTAAAAAGCAAAAAAGAAGAGGTGGGGAGGGGGCAGAGGTAAAAGAAAGGAGGGAGGGAGGAAGGAAAGAGAGGGAGAGGGAGAAAGAAAGAAAGAGAGGGAGAAAGAAGGAAGGAGAGAGAGAGAAGGAAAGAGAGAGAGAAGAAAGGAGAGAGGGAGAGAGAGAGAAAGAAAGAGAGAGAGAAAGAAGGAAGTAAGGAGAGAGAAGGAAAGAGAGAGAAGAAAGGAGGCAGGGAGGAGAGAGAGGAGAGAGAAAGAGGGAAGGAAGGCGAGAGAGAGAAGGAAAAAGAGAGAGAAGAAAGAGAGGGAGGAGAGAGGGAGAGAGAGAAAGAAAGAGAAAGAGAGAGAGAGAGAGGAAGAGGGAAATAGGGAGAGAGAAGGAAAGAGAGAGAGAAGAAAGGAGGGAGGGAGGAGAGAGGGGAAAGAGAAAGAGAGAGAAAGAAGGAAGGAAGGTGAGAAAGAAAGAGATAGAGAAAAGAAAGAAGGGAGGGAGGGAGGGAGGAAGGAGAGAGAGAGAAAGAAAGAGAGAAAGAAAAAAGAGAGAAAGAAGGAAGGAAGTAGAGAGAGAAAGAGAGAGAGAAAAGAAAGGAAGGGAGGAAGGAAGGAGAGAAAGAAAGAGAGAAAGAAGGAAGGAGAGAGAGAGAGAGAGAAGGAAGAGAGGGAGGGAGGGAGAGAGAGAGAAAGAAAGAGAGAATTAAATAGTGGGAAGGGTGGCGGTTGGATGCGAATGATTTTGTGTATTGTCTTTTGTCTAAAGGGCTGTTAAATGAAAGTTGTTCTTCGGAGCTCCCAAATGAGTTTCGCAGAGGAGTTTTCAAAGTTTGGTTCTTTTATGATCGGTTGGGGGTGGGTGGGGGGAATCGATCCCGGCTGATTTCAGAGCAGGTCGCAAGCAGGAGAGAAAGAAGTAGAATTATAGTTTTTCCTATTCCCCACTCTTTTTATTCTCAATAGGAAGTCATGCCTCATGGTTACAGTTTGAGTTTGGGCTGCAGAAATGCAGATGATCGCCAGAGGGAACTGGCACTTTGGAGTCTCGTGGCTTCCCACAGCTTCTGTTGAGATGATGGCAGGTGGAAGAAAAGTTTTGTTTTCTAACCTTGAGACCAGAAGTCTTGACCAGAGACACTGGGGGAAAATGAACAAGCAAGACTCTAACCCTGAAATCTTAGGCTTTTATAAGATGCCTGGTTTATTTAATTTTTTTAAATGATGAACAACCCAAAGGCAAATCAAGCACGGATCAATTTGCTTGTTTAGGGACAATGCAAAAGGTAAAAATTAGCAGCTAAAAATAATGGCTTCCTCACTTCCTCACTTTTCCCTGCAAGTTATGGGTGGCTAGAAAATTTGAAACCTTGACAATTTTAAGAGACGTGGACTTCAACTCCCAGAATTCCCCAACAAGAGTGGCTGAAAACCAATAAAACTCTGATCCTGGAGCATTTTCAAAGATGGAAAATATTTATGAATTTCAATCTGTCTGATAATCCCAGATACAAGGACTGCAGTTACGGCCTTGTGCAGTAGTATATTTTTTAAAAAATGAATCCCAGCCTCCTGAATTCCTTTGCAGATTTAGAGGCCTGTAAAACAGTAAGGCCAAATATTTTTGCGCTTGTGTTTTTTTTTTTTTTAATGTGGTTGGCACTGTGGACATTACTGTCCAGGGTTATCAGTAGCAAACTGGCATTTCTTCAAGAGAATGGAACTTGCATCATAAAATCACAATGCAAATTCCACTCCTTAAATACTTATGTAAGACATCATGGAAATGGGGTGATAGGAGCTGAATAGGTACCATGACACTGTAATGCCTATTTCATTGTTTGCTGATCTCCCTTTCCATGCTTACCGACCTAAGGAATAAAAAAGTGTCTTGTTTTTTTTTTAAAGCACCCATTTCAACCCTACCACCACATACATTCATTTTGGACCTGCCCTGTTTTGCAACGTGGTTCTCAATAGACCATACATAGCTTAGATTAGAAGAATTCCTGGCTTAGTGTGTTCCACCAATTATGATTTCTTGAACTGGCCACAGTTAAACAAACCCATGGCTTACATAGATGGAGGAGCTTACATCTGAGGAGGATGGGCAGTTAAGAATGGGCAATTAAGAAGTATGAAAAATAAAAGGAAGGGAAGGGAAGGGAAGG